CATTGCAACTGAAGTGCGCTTAAGATATCGCAAAACAATACGAGTTGCTAGAAATTCTAAGGAATTGTCTTTGAGAAAAATATTCTATTTTCTTTTTAAAGTAATTGTGAAAGATGGTCTTATTTTTCTATTATTCAATGTGATTTTTAAAGCGAATTTACTGTAGAAACATTAACACTAGAAAGAAAGAAAGATAGAAAGAAATCAGTTTATTAAAAAAATGAAAAGGAATTCATTCGGCATGTGCTCGGTGTACACCGAAGCGCCGGTTTTCAATGATTCCTAAAAACAGAACACGCAGTTTTACTATTGTTTGTTATTTCTTAAATAATAATTGTGATTGTATAGACTAAATGTAGATTTTGTTTTTAATTACTGCTTATTCCTAAGTATTCGCTTAGATGGCTTTTTACTTTTTCTTAAATGTTTTATTTTATTTGCTAAGTAATTGTTAAAGGTTTGTATGAAAATGAAACAAAATGAACGTTACCATTACCATTATTATTGAAAAGTTTAAAATGCATCAGCACTTAGAGGTATCATGTACATGTCTTTATCTAAACACATTTAAATTTTTTTAACCTTAAGTTATTTTAAAAATATAATAAATTAAAAATAACAATCTTTTGATAAAAGGAAATTACAGCATATTTTCGCAACTTAATAATACTGGAGTCGTTGTAAACAAATAACTATAAACAAAGAAATCACAGCATGCGTTCAGTGAGTTAAGTATTTCATATTAATACATACAAGACCAATTTAAATACACCGATTGAAATGAAATTATTCGATAAAATCACATAGTTACAGTACTTGTATCTTACAATGCCGCTCTGAAATCGATTACTGGTAAATGTCGCAGGTTAAATTATGATTTATACGTAGTTATCATGCAAGACAATCAGAAGACATGTGATAATTATCAGTACCAGTTGTCTGGTTAATTTAATTTAAATTCATATAGTTTACACTAAAGCAATTTTGTAGTTATCAATTTCGGTATTTGTATACTTCTTCTTCAGAGCGGCAAAACATCCATACCGTATAGTACAATAAGCATTTTAGATTCTAATTTCACTATAATTTACACCGTTCCTCACATCGACTAGACGCTACGTACATTTAGAAAATCTACATAATTACAAACCTGTCACTAATTATCTAGACTTTTAGAATTTTTCAATGATCTCGCGTTGAGTGGCATCGATTTCTTTTTACTCTTATCCGTGGCGGTGTCGGAACCGAAAGAGGTTTTGGAGCTGGGCGCGCTGTTCCCGGGGGACACGCCACTGTCCGTGCTAACTGACGCTGGGCTTGGACTGTCACTGGCGCTACTGCATACCGTCAGCTCCTGTCCCTGCCCCGCTACCGACACGATCTGACCTACCACCTTCTGTCTCACTACATTTATACTTTGGCACACATTCTTCACATCACCCTCGCTCGATTCCTTCTTATGATATCTCGTGAGNGTCCCCGCGGAACCCGCCGAGTGCGGTCTGTACATCGGGAAGTACTGTGACTGCGGGTAGTACTGCATCTCGTGAGGTACTTGCCCCGGTACCCACGGCATCGTCGATACCACAGGTGGCATATGCGTCCACATCGGCATTTGTACCATATGGGTCCCGTCTGGTAAAGGCTTGAAGCTTGGCGCTACAGGCATCGGCCTTACAACACCAACTGGAGTGGGGGCGCTGTGTGGTCTCATAGCTGGATGACCATATTGCATCGAAAATTCCTCTCCCTCGTACATTCTCGGAGTCTGTGTATATTCCACGTTCGGGAAAA